GGAATGTGAGCGAGTGATTACAGATTCATGGCAAAAGACTGCCAAGACACAATCTCACTCAATCTGCCTGTCAATTTATAAAGCACATGAACAACCATGATTTCAAAATCTTGTGTATTATATATTGTTTCATTTTATTTCTAAATAGCCATTTAGAGAGTCCTTCGTTTAATTTCCATATTAAATTGTGTGTCTAGATGATCTAAAGTTTATTTCATTTAACACCGGTGGTGTACAGTATATCTGCGATTATTCAAATGTTCTTACTGTAACTGAAATTTAAGGTTCATGTTCTTGATTTGAGTATGTAAATTAGACACTACTTTATACTTCAGCTCCACTACATTTCAGGGAAGGCAGGTACATTTTACTCCACTATTATAGCCATGTTATTTTACAAATTAAGATTCTAACTGTACATAAAAACATATATGCATATACAGTAAGATTAAATCAGTGGTCCCCAACCTGTCAGGCCTCTTACATAACCTCTCACAAAAGCAGCAGTGTCACGTTTCGGCCCCTTGTGGTGTTTCTGATGTCTACAAGTTGTTGGCAGTGCCACCAAAAACAAGACATTTTTTCTATTTTCAGAGGGATACATTTTTGTAAAATTGTTCCAGGCCAAAAGAGGTTTCAATATTTCAGTATAAAAACAAACATAAATGTTCAAAAATGAATACACATTTTGCCGCAGTAAACCAATTCTTGTGACATTTTGGGACAGGTCTGAATGGAACAGTTTGACTAAACTGTATATAAAGTGGTGATAACTAAAAACTCTTCAACCAAGAGTAAATTAACATTAAAATGCTATTTACGCCCCGATACTGTACATTGCTATTGTTGATTTAATAACTTTGCTACCACACTTTGTAACGTTTCAAACTTTGTATTTGTGACTATCTTTATATTTTGTACTGGTGTTTTCATCTAGGTAAAGGAAATTAATACTTTCCCCACCACTGGAAAAAGCTACAGGCCAATTAAGAAATTCTTTTTTTTTTCTTCAAAATCACTTTTATTCCACAATTTATTTCATCAGGTCTTAAGGCACCCTGAAGAGATGTTACACGTTTTTCTTTCAAATGTGGGTTCCTTTTAAGACTGTGTAAACATAGCTTTAAATAATTTCCTGTAAATCTTTGCTTAAATTATTTCTTTACAGTGCACAGACATTGTGTTTTGTGACAAAAATACAGTGTGAATTAAGTAAATATGGCAGCTAGTGTACATACATATATATTGAAGAGTAATAGATTGGCAGACAATCAGATCAATAGGCTGAAGAAGAGAGAAAACTATCAAACAATCTTTGAGACCCAGATAGATATACAGATCACGTAAAGATATACAGTACATAGTTACAGTGAACTTTTTTATTTTTGCAATGCTTTTCCAGCGCCTCTCTGCCTTAGAAGCTATTTTTACATTGTACCTTTTGTGTGTTGCCTCAGCCACCATCAATACGCTGCACCCCGTGAGGTGGAGCGAGACAACTTATCTAGTCCTGGAGGGCTCACCCACATGTTCGCTATTGCAGTGTGGAGGTGAGTAAACAGCATGATGGGCAGACAGACCAACAGACATGCAGACAGACAGACAAACAGCACAAGACTTGGTTGTGGCTACGCAGACCACAACACAAAGATCTATCTATAATTCCCTAAATATGGTACGGATCACAATGTATTTATATGTAAAAAGGGACTTTGTAACTGGCATTTCATATACAGGGATGTAATAGTTATACTTGATTATCAAGGTACGTTGCTATGGAGTCTTTGTGGTGTGATAATACTCTGGAGATGTGTTGGAATGAATGTTCTACTTTCTCAATTATACTATACAGAAAGATAAAAATCTTTTCAACATCTGCTATAATTAGTATCATTCATACAGTTTGGAGAGATGAAAACAACATTCTCTTCCTGACAGCAGGAAGATCTAAAAAAGATTTTAAAAAAGTTGTATCAGCAATTACACAACACCTTCAAATGGCTTGGTTGCAATGGCTATACCGTATCTAATCAGACCAATACTAAAAAAATTAAAATAGAAATATACTCAGTGAAGAAGGAACAGTGCAAGAGGTGAATGAAAGTATGAGTGGTGAGGAACGGAGCCTGTGTCTTGTTCTGGGGATCTTTGAAGAGATCAACAGGAGTCGCAAAGAAAAGAAGGGTCAGAGAAGTCATCAAAGCAGCATTCACTATCTGTAACTGGCTTTCCTACTGGAACCAAACTAATCTGCAAGAGAGGGTTTGGCCACATCCCAAAATGCTGCCTTTGTGACGTATTTGACACTTCCTTCCTTTTTAAATTTTTTTTTAAAACATAAATCCTTAGCAAATGTGGGCAGCTTCAGCATCAGGTTTCCTTTAACTGCTCACTTTCTGTTTTACTCGACCACCTTGATCTTGAAGCTGACACGGCCCAAGAACTTATCCCTGTCGTCGTTGTTGCGGAGGTCAGACCCCTCTACCTTGCACTCCACCGTCAGATCCTTGTTGTACTCCTCCTTGGTGAACAGCAGCTTCACAGCCACCAGGGGCTGCGTGTAATTCTCCTGCATCAGGGAGGAGACAATATTGTCAATATTACACCAACGTGAGGATGTTAGTGAACATGATCTGACCAGGGATAGATACTTACATGGGCTTTCTTTCCATAATAGGGGAAATACATCAAATCAATAAGCCCCTTATTGGGAAAATACTGCATTTCAATTTGGGCATCTCTCTGCAAAGAAGATCATGTGTCAGTCCATGCAGACCGGATACTAAATGAAATGCATTTTATTCGGTTAAATCATATGAAATGAGACATTTTTTCAAGCTCACAAGACAGGACATGAAAAAAAGGAAAAGCAATGACTCTCTGTTAGTAGAGAGATCTAAATGAAGTGCAAAACTTGTTCTGTTTTAATCTGCAAAGTGACATTTGTGGCTAAAATTTACACCAGTTAGATTAAAATGTCTTGAAAATGGGTCTAGGATGGGTTTAGAGGCACTTGCATAATGACCTGTTATATATTAACAAGTGTTAACACTCCTACTGGCCTTATCCTGATAGTTTACATATTTAATCTTACCCTAAAGCCGTCTGTGACAGCATGCAGAAAGAAATTGGACACAAACAAAAAGAAGGAAAAAACAAAGATCAACAGAAAGAAAATACTGAGACTATTATGGTTATCAGTGCGTTTGTATGGCAGAAACTAAAAGAAAAAACATACATACAAACAATTAGCACATGTATAGTCTGGACAGAAATGTTTACTTTTATTGTGCAGTTGATGTAGGGTTCCCCGCGGGGCTTCAGGCCAATGATCTATGAGGTAAGGAAAATAGAAAAGGCTGAGACTATTAGGAGAAACAGATGTAGAAAAGCTATTACGTGTGTGGGACCAAGATTAGATATTAATCCAACTATTCATTTTACTTTGGGGACTCGACAAACTTAGATCAGAAGCTGGAAGAAGGGGGGAACAAAAAGGTTGAAAGGAATAAAATGACAAAAATTGTACATCTGTAATGCATGGAGACAGTTTTTAAGTTTCAAAAAACCATGAGAGGGACCAGCTCAGTGAAAGCAGGTGTTACCCTGTTCATTGTGAGCAGCACGCAGGGTTTTCCCTCAGAATATCCAAAGCTGGTATCAGAAAGGCCGGAGCACGAGGTCAGGTTGCCCCTCTTGAAGCGACAAGCCTTCTTTGCCATCTCCTTGCTTTCGTTCTGCATGAAGTACTTTCCTCGAGGGCAGTCCTCATTCTTCTCCTGCTCTGTATCATTATACCCTGATACAGAGACAGAGAGAGATACACTAGAGATATATTCAGATATATGACAGTAATCAACAGAAAGGGATCTGGGATGATGAGAGTTGTAGTTATCAGTGTATAATCACCAAGTGCACTTACTTTGTAGGAAGGTCTCCAGCTCCTGCACGCACTTCACATACGTGAGTGGGTTGGATTTGTTGAATGAGATTTCCAATGCTGGACGAATCACCAATCCTACAACAAGTAAAGTAAAGCAGTAATTGATCCCGACAACACAAACCAATGAACAGCCACAGCTGAGGTTTGTCTCAAATTACACCTGGAGAGTAAACATTCTCAATCCAGCTCCACTGCTGATATCACACAGGAAGATATTTCAAAACAGGTCGATACAAAAAGCAGCTGTAATGTAGCGCATTATTGTGACAGCATCTTGTTGGTGTGAGTATGAATAATGAATGCCACAAAGAGAAGTGCTGAAAGTAGCTGAAAGCCCCCGTTCCTCCCATGTTAGATACTGCACGCTGACGGACACTAACCTGGATGGGGAACTCGGTCTCTGTACCTTGGCACATAGTCATCCAGAGTGAGCAGCATCACCCACATGGTCAGGACGAACATACCAGCCAAGAAACAGTAGAAAACCAAGTAGAACAACAAAATGAGGGCTGGAAAAAGTTAGAGAAACAGAATAGAAAGTAAATCATGAGGGAAGGAAGCAGAGAGGCATTGTGTATAATTAAATACAGTACCAGCTTTAACCACACACAGGCTCAGACAAATGCCTCCTGACTTTTTTCATTTTTCCTCATCTGCAGGCTGAGGAAAATTATCATTTGAGTGTACTGTCCCTTTGAGAGAAACCATTTTGGATCAAGGGGGAAATGCTACTCCCCTGCTAACAAACATGAGGCCATGTTTTACTAGGGGCCCTCAATTTTCAAGTCACGTAAGATTTAGGGATGATGCTGCAGTGCTCAAAACACGCCATTTATCCAAAGCAGGAGAAAAGCACGGAACCACATTTATGAAAACATCTGACTCAAAATGGTTTCACAGCACGGATGCCCTCTAAGCTGACAGAAAAAAGAGAGAGAGATGGACCTCCTCAGCTTCCTGCTGTATAGCCCCCTTTCTCTCATTCCTCTTCAATCATATACCACAATGCACCTGCCTAGTGCGTGAAAGAGAGGCAAAGAGAAGAGAGGGAATCCCATTTGACCTTGACAGGCATGCTAATGTGGGCGGCCATGCAACTGCAATGGAGCATCCCACTGCACAGCAGCACAGGGGCCCAGGAAGCTTGACAGCCTAGGCTACAGGAGCTGGGGAAGATGTGCTACCTGACTCTGGAAATAACTGAGGAATCATTACATAAAATGTAGCCTATGGTCTGATCAGCTATAGATTCAGCTCAGGAATGCTGCAGCACACTTACCTGATTAGATAATGAGGGGTTTTATCAGCTGGGTTTGAAAGATGATGAATATTAATTAGAAAGTCTCTGGTGTTATGATTGATTATCACCTGGTTATTTCTGCCTCTGCAGCAAAGAGAGAACGGTGCACACCTCTGATGGCATCATTTATCCTGGTAAGGCTCTTGGTACAGTCTTCTCCTTTACACCTTCATGTAGGCCAATGATGGCTCCTCAGCTAAGTCACTATCTATATGTCATTTTAATCCATCCACAGAAATATATGGTTGGCTATATATTCAGGAGATACACATCTGTTAACGCTTTGAAAATGGAAAGAGGCAAACGTCAGATGGGGTGCAGTATAAGCCCCGTGAATGTCAAAGCATATTCACTAAATGACTCGGATTCTTACCCCAGCTGCTGGCCGTGCGACCCAGCACCTCCCCGGTCCTCGGGTTATAGAAGGAGTCCTTCCAGCTAGACACGTTCTCCTTGTTGGTCGCTTTATCCTCGGTGCCCGCCATGGTGATGTTTTATTTGGTCTATTATTATTTGTGCGTTTTCTTTTCCCTAAAAAATGCAGAAAAGCGCAAGCGGGCGATGTAATGAGGCGAAGAAGCCGGCGAGGCGGCGGTGAGTGGTCGGATCAATGGTTGGGAAGGAGTGGGCGGTGTAGAAAGAGGGAGAGCAGAAGGACAGAGATGCTCTGATGGAAAAAAAACGAGAAGGGGAAGGTGAGGAAAGAGGAAAAAAAAATCTGTGACGTCCACACAGCTGATGCGGCGCGACCAGATGGATGTACATGGGTTAATGACGGAGGCGCAACGTTACGCGCAGAAATTATAAATAGAGCGCACACTTTCTTACAATCAATGACAGTATAATGGCTACATGCGTTTAGGAATGCGCTGTGATCTCCATTTCATATAAACTGTCTGCAGGCTGTGGGATCCTTCAACAAACACAAGAAAAATGCAAAAATATGACACTTTCAGTGCGGAACCAAAGGATTTTAGGACTCAAAGTGCGTCTGTTATGCTGAAGCTATAGCTCTGCTGAAGGTATTTTTGACTTCTATATTACACATAATCCTTTTTTACTGTAGCTTCATTATAGCTCTTCTGCATACAAGTCTTCTGCACTGAGTCACGAATAACCAATCCAATGGGCAGGAGTGTATTTCCACAGCAATAGATGCACTGCTTGTCACTCAACACACACAAACGCTGTCATACTGAAGTACATTATGTGCCAGTACTAATCAGCATATTTCAAGCCAATCAGGATATTATTTGTGACTGGTTGAGCACAGACATTTGGGGCATTTGCCAATCCTTGTTTCTATGGCAATTGAGCACTACTGAAACATACTGTATACAGTATATGGAGAGAGAGGATACAGCCTGGACTGTGAACACATGAGCTAAAAGGCAAACAGGGAACAGCAGGGGTATTAGCTTCAACAAGTATATTCTCTTTCATTTCATCTTTGGCAACATGTGCATGTGTGCGCTGTGCTGAATTAACTGAACTGAAAGATGAGTTAGATGCTTAGGAAGCAGGGGGAGGGACTGGGACACAGGAAAAATAGAAATGACAAAAGCTTAAATCCCCCTGACACTCAGTGTGTCACAGAGAGACAGCAAAGAGAAGAGGGAGTTACATAATGACCTCAATGCAGGGTTCGGCTCTGTGGGGGAGGGGGGGACTGGAGTAGTGGTCGCACTGCATCCAGTTTCTGCTGTCAGACTGAATTTGTTGCAAGGCAGGGTCCACCACAACTCATACAATGCGGCACAAGGCACAATAGTAGCACACACAATTTACTGATTAGTGTTAGAGCTGGCAGCACTGATCCATGGGCTAGTCCTGTCTGTCTCACTCACTCTAGCACATTTTTCTCTGTGAAGGCACCCCACTGCAAGCTAAACCCACTGGCACCCCCCCCCACGAAAACCTGTCCATTTGAGTAAGATAGCTCAAAGTGACGGTTAGACCAGAGAAAGAGTGGAGGGGGACTTCACACGTGGTATGGATCTGTGCAATGTACACAAAACTCACTTCTACTCTTTCTGTGAGAGAACAAGCACACAATCTTCCCATTGTTCAGAAAAACCCCCTTTCCATGCACTCACTTAGCACCCCCTTCACCATACCAGCACCATGAGCAGGAATACACACCCCATTTGTTTTCAGTCACTCCATCCACAAGCTACCATAGCAACCCTCACAGTGAGGATTGGTCACATTGATTTGAAGCAATTCTGCATTCATCCAGTAGTCTGTGTTTCTGATGATTCCCCAGGCACAAGACAGCAGCGCTTCCCTGGAGTTCATGTGGAGGTTGTTAGGTATTTTTAGTCAGATAGATATTGGACAGATACTTTATGTATTAGAAATGTTTAGTGGAGATAGGATGTCTAGTTAGACTGTTAAATGCTTAGTCATGCTTATGAGTTTCTACAGGGTACATCTGGTCAAGGATAACTAGAGAAAAGTTGATGACTGTCAGCAGACAGGGTGTTAATATTATTATAATGACGTGTATAACTGTAGCCTTAGCCATAATATGTTCTTATGTTTAATGTCATGACATGTCACTAGACGTCTGTGAGAATGTTTTTAGCTACACACCACTTAATCAACAGACACACACACACATTGATTTGCTTCATGTTTTGACTACTGCTATGACCAGCTGCAAAGCTGGTAACAGAGACGTCTCGGTTGACGTTTCTGTGTAGTATGGGGCTAGCCCAACCGAGGGGATATAATGTACAGGCCTGGTGGGTTCAGGGTCTTTCATCTTACATCTGCCTGTGAGCAGTTTGGAGGTGCAAGATGCCTGAGCGTGTAATGTTAATTTTACCTGTGATCCTTTGAATAAATCAGCACTGTTTTGAAGTTACTTGGACTGTCTCGTCTCTCAGAGTTAGCAATGGTAAGAAGAACCAAAGACCAGCAAGGTAAAACCCCTTCAGGCAGTATCTGCCCTCTCACCCTGTCGGTGACATGTACTGTAAGCACAACACAATCAAGTCACCACAGGCAACAGCTGGTAATTTATGTTTTTAATATTAGCCCTTTCACAAAGTACCTGACATTTTCTAGACTTTGGTAACAAAATTTATGATTAGATAATTGTATTGTTTTTTTGTTTTTTTTTTATCCCCCAGAGTCTTAAGATGGTTTTTGCAATTCAAGAAGTGTTAGAAAAATCTCACATGCTGACTTGAAATGTCATTTGGTTCAAAATGGTTAATTTCAGCATTATACACTTTGCATAACAAAGTAAAGCAAACCAGAAAGAACCCAGTTACAGTGATGAAAAAGGCAAACAATATGTAACAATCCTGTTCAAACAATGAGATTCACAGTAAATTGTGATTAGGTCACATACAATAAGTGTAGGCACATTTAATTCTGACATAATTAGAACAGTTAACTTTGCCTTCAGAATGCATCAAGTCAAAACATTTTCATATGACATCAACATGGCTGTCCCTTGGTGCTGAAATTCATAAAGCTGGGACAATTTAACTGTAAACACAATGCAGACCAACAAGGAAAACAGCCACAAATTTGTGCATTCATTACCCTATCAATTAATATTTGTGTCCCTGATCAGTTTGTTCCTACACAACAGAGAATGCAGGTGTTTATCACAAGTGTGTTGACACACAAATGAAGTCCCCATAAAATCCTATGTTACTCTCAGTTAACATTTGACAACCAGTTCTTTACTGATTGAGCTACATCAGACAAGTTATACTGAAATCTGGTGAAATTCCCGTATTAAGAGAAAAACATGCAATTAATTTGTGTTCCAGTCACATTTAAACAATCGTCTCATGCTGAATAAGTGCACTAAGTTTGAGATTTAGAGCATATAATGTTTGATGAAGCTGCTCCAAATGTCCTAAATGTGATACCTTTTGATATGAGAATGTCTCTGTAGGACTAACACGTTCTTGAAATGCCACAAAGAAACAGATGAACACTGAAGTGTTTGCTGACACTGTTGTGGACCTCTTTGGATATGAGGCATCATAAACAGAGCGGTCTTTTATTTTCCTACCAAAGTGGATTCTGTATACATAATTTTATTCTGTGGCTCTTTATTAAAATGTGGTATGTGGTTGCTATGGCAAATTCATAAATTAAAAATCAGTAAAGCTGGTCATTAGTGCCCCCCTGTGGGAAAATATTCTATCAAATATTCCAGCTGGAAAAATACACCAGTGACATGAGATCAGGAATGAATGAAAAGTCAATTCTGATGTGGCAACTACAGTGTAAGGAATTTAAGTAAAGGGAGAGTAACTCCTATATGTGGTCAGCAATTAAAAACCGTGATGTGGTTGGCCTGGATCAGACCTACACTGGACCTTTCCCCACAGTCCTGCTCTCAACTGTAAATATCAATGGCCAATTCCCCTTAAAGGTCTAAGTCACATCTGGTCCAGGATTCAACAGTGCTGGAGGAAGTGCCTGGAGAGAGGGAAGTCTGGGCATCTTTGCTTAGACTGCTGCCCCCGCGACCCGGTCCCGGATAAGCGGAGGAAAATGAATGGATGGATGGAATGGAAACCCTTAAACTCATTTTGAGACACCACTGATGGCTGTTTATTTAAAAGGTGTCTGCTTTAATGCACTCAAAACCTATGTCTCCATCTCTTGCCTTGGTCAAACCCTGGAACTCGCTGCCTGTGCACACAGTATCAAGGCTTGCTGTACCAGTTCATGGAACGCCGGAGAGCTCTTTCCCAGCTCTGGAGGACAGGGATGTACTCCCGACTCTGGCTGCCTGCACCCTCCTTGGGTTGACCGTGGGGTAAAAACACCTCATTGGCGCTCTGCACCTTCTTTAGCTCTTCCCGGGTCCTCCAGAAGCCTGCAGTGACAGATGAAGACCGGAGAAGACTTAGGGAAACAGCATTTACACAAACACATGTTTTACACAGGAAATCCTGTAAATGCAGAAATCGGCACTGTGTGAGAAACAGATGAGTCTATTCTACCACATCCACTGCTAATCAAAGGCTGAAAGTGGTGGAGAAATGAAATTCCAAGCACTAATGCTAATGCAAACAACATGAATCACATTGGCATTCAGTTACTGACAACACCTACCTTTGGTCTGTTACAAAACTACACCCTTTTTGTTTATCTGATTTGATAAATCACTGACTAATGTATAACAATCCCATTGCATAATATGAATAATTAAAGGGAAATCAGGTCACAGACCAAACAGCAGCATTTCATTTTGCTGCTGCTGCCAGTGTCAGCAAGAACAAAAATAACTTTTCAAACAAAACCTGATGTCTTGACGATGTCCCTTATATTTTTAGAGAAAAGCCAAAAGAGCTGCAACTCTAAGAAATATTTTATGTAAATTATATCGGTTTAAACTGATTTAAAGAGCACACAACATATACATGTGTGTGAAGGCGCCTCTCCGTACCCACTCCGAGTCCAGCAACAAAAGCAGCCCCCAGACACGACATCTCACGGTGTTCAGGTCTGGTTAACTTTCTGCCAAACAGATCTGCAGTCAGCTGCATGACAAAGTCATTGGAAGAAACACCCCCATCCACCCTGAAACGGGAGGGAAGAAAGACAGAGCACTCAATTACACTGCAACATGCTTTACTGTAACACTATCAGAGAAACATACACCTATAATGGATTGGCAATAAAAGCTGAACTGCATTAGAAGAGACAGGGTACACAAGAGATGGTTCTGTTACACCCAGTTTCCTGGCTAACATCCAGAACCTATGATCAGATATTGCAGCGTAAAGCTGGAAATTCAAAGAGGTGTCCCTCCTGACCTGAGTCTCTCTTGCCTATACAGCAAACCTACATTATATAATCACATACTTTTTGACTGTACCTGATCTTAGCAATAGGGATACTGGTTTCTCTTAGCATGGTGTCATACAGCTGCTTATTTCTGCAAAGAAAAAGAAGCGTGCATAGACAGAATATCAGTGAGCACGAATGAGAAAGAACGGTGCAAAAGTGTAAACAGACGCACTCTCTTCAAAATGATTCACCTGAAGGCAACAGATTCCAGTATGGCACGGACCAGATGGCATTTGGTGGTTGAAGGCTTGAGGCCCATGAATGAAGCACAAGCTTTGGGATCGTTCAGAGGAGCCTTTGGATAGAGAACACACACACGTGTCAGAATGAGTGCAGCTCCGCTGTTTTACAAGGCTGATATACATAGCTCTCGATTAAACAACCTTCAGAAACCAGATTTCTAATAAAGTCATTGCATTTAAATGATAAACGTTCAGGACGAGCACTTACAAAGGCCAGCAATGGGAGGGCAGAGAAAAGAGAGACAAGCATGTCACAAGAAAAAAGAAACAAAAATCCAAATAAATGCCTGTAATGGTTAAATATCAATAAATGCTATATATGTGCTGCAACAAATAGGTTTTTGCTTTGAGTGAATACACTTGTATTCACATTATACTAAATACCAACTGTGTATAAATGACTCTTTCTTTCACTTAGCCACGTCTACCTGCAGGCCGCTGAAGGAAGGGACAAAGCACACTCCGTCAGAGTCACTGACGCTGTAAGCCATGGCGCTGGTCTCTTGGACATCAGAGTAGAGCTCTGCATCAGCACACACAGGTTTCACCCAACAAATCTATCAGTTAATGACTTATTCAGAAGAAGGTATTCAGTTAAAGATGAACAGACTGCAAAAGCATGAAGAGATTTACTTTGTCACTTGGGTCAGCAGAACAAAGTGAAAACACAACAGTAATATACAGTATTATGGCCTTATAAAGCTCTTATGATGAACGTGTTAAAAATGGAATAACACTGTCTTGTTTCTGTCCAAAATAAGTCCAATATCACCCCTTCTTTTAACTCTGTTTTGGTCTTCACTAACTCTTGAGGGAACCATTTGGTTATATCCACCACCTAGTTGCTCACTTTAGCTGTCTCCTGTTTGGAGCTGGCGCAGGTAGTGTACAGTGGGTTGATCAAAGCTTTTTCACTGATAACAGACACTGCTGTGGTTCAAAACAGCATTGATGAGACAAGTTGCAGACTGCCAACCAAAACAACGAGCAAAAGAACGCCTTTACATAATCTGACATCAAATTACAGTTAAAACCACAGCTATTTTACACAGCCCATTGCGCACCTAGCTCCTGTGCCCATTTGATGGCAGTGCCCGTGTCTGCTGCGTTGCCCTCCGCCAGGTACACCACCTCATCACCGATCTTCCACCCCACCAGAGGATACAAACCTAGAGAGAAGAAACACTAGCTTGTAATGTGCCGCTGCGGACAAACGTGGATAGAAATATCGTCACCTTACCTTGTACAGATGTATGCGGTTTGTTCCCGGTGTTGATGTCCATGAAATTGCCAGTTCCCATGGTGATCTTCACATCCCCAACATCGAAGCAGCACTCTCCAAACATGGCTGCCTGCTGGTCTGCCATCTACAGACAGGGGGCGTCAAGGAAAATACTGAATCCTAAACAGGTTTAGCCTCAGCTAAACAACACTGAAAATGTTTATGTATCAAAAGACATAGTCCAAAATGTCACTATGGGAAGACCAAAGTCATATACTGTACAATACTATCACAGCTTATGTCGACTGGTTCAATTCATTCCTTGTGTCTTGCTTGTTTTTAACCTCTACTACAAAGCAGATACATGATAGGTCACATTTTATGTATTAGCACTAAGGCCTGTATCAATTTGTATCATATTAACATTTTTAACATAGTTTCAACTGAATGAGACACTTGAACACAAGACACGTTCCCTGCTGCTCAGCAGCTACACACCCCAGACAAATGCCCTGTTTACAACATAACGATTGAAACACTCTGGCATCAATGGAAGGTCGCCATTAATGATTAATTTGCTTTATCATAATCACATAAAAAACATTGTGTGATGTCAAAACCTTGACAACTCACCAGTGACATGATGGGAATGGGCACTCCAAAGATAGATGGGTCTGTGGAGCCGAAGTCATGGCTGGTGAGGGAGAAACCAGAGGCAATGCAGATATTTTCAAATGATCTGGTACAGTTTGAGCGTATAATACACTGAAACATGAACTTTATATCCAATTAGAGCAGTGGTTCCCAATCATTTTTCTTTCTGACTCTAAGCAATACCCTTTTTTTGGGACCCTTGTCATAGGGTGCATCTAAGGATGGTTTTCCCTAGATGTTTTACAGCAATGACACAGTAAACCTATACGTTACTGTAAAAGAAAAGGGGAAAGAATATTTTATAGCAACATTTTGTGTAAGCTGAATAAAAAAAAAAAAAAAAAACTTCCTGTCCTAGTAATTGTATCACGACCCCTTGAATTAAAGGGTTGTGAGGTAATTATGAGGGTATGCACGCATACCATCATGCGTGCATGTCCATGCTCACATTCCTATTCATACTTCAGACCAAGGCTGCGCCTTCTGTCCATGTATGCCACTGTTTTCCTAGCACTGTAGTACATGGGCATTGGGGGCTTTTGCTGTGTGCACCGTCCGCATAGACACAAACTTTCTGGCTTGCATGCGGACGTCCGCAGAGTTCGCACTGACCCTCGCGGGCCTGGGAAGATGATGAAAATTACGTCACTCAACCAAAGCAGACATGCAGATGTGCAAAGCATGAACTGCTCTTTAATCTCACAATCCCTTGTGGAAATCCTGACCCTCTGACTGGGAACCACTGACTAACACCTGAGTAACAGGTAAAAAAAAAAACACATATAAAACTGTGGTATACTGAGTAAAATACACTAGACAGTAAGACTATTAGATTCTAAGACATATTCATGTGTACAGTGAGTTGTAATTTGAAGGAAATGGTTAACTCACCTTGTATTTTCTACTTTGGGGAAAATAGAGAGCGGCAGAGAAACAAGAAAGCTAAGGAAACCACTCCAACACATCTGTGAGAAAGTCACATCACAGGGATGTGAAAAAAAACTCACACCACAGACACACAGAAACAGTATATAAATATGACATACACCAAACCTGATAGGCATCAAAAATCCCTGTTGAGCTGGCATTAGAGAAGTCTGTGGCATGGACCTGTCCTAAAATAGATTGCATGACAGAAAGAAATCAATTTACAAAATGTAAACAAAAGCTTGTATGAGCATTCGCCCATTTTCCTTAACCACTAGCCTACCACGGACAGCCCTATTAGACAATGCATGAAATTAAACTGACCTTAAATATTAGATATTAGTGTACTGTCTACAAAAGAAATTGTGCTCATAGAAAATTGGTATTCATGTGAGCTCAAATATACCTTTTGTGAGTTTGAACAGGAGCCAGGTGTCTATTGTTCCAAAGCAGCAGTTTCCTTCAGCTACTGCTTGACAAACCTGAAAAACAGAGAAAAATGATAAGGCTGAAAAGAGAAGTGAATAACTGAGGCTGTGCTGATGCCGCAGTCTCTCCCGGTCTGTCAGAATTTCATGCTCCCCCCCCCTTTTCATAATGAACCCTTTAACACACAAATGTTGTGCACAGTACCAGGATTATGTGACAAGGATTGTATGCATGCATTTGCTTGACTTTTAAAGGTACTAGCTTTAGCCGCTGCAGGTGGAAAAGTAGATGGTAAGGGGTAAATCTGAAACAATTACACGATTAACCTTTGAAATGATTAAGGCAAAGTTATTTGGCAAATATTTTGATAATTAATTAATAGCTTCAGTCATTTTTCAAGCAAAAATTCTGGACGCTTTGTGGTTCCAGCTTTTCAGATGTGAGGATTTCCTGCTTTTTCTCTCCACTTTATGCGGGTTGAATTTGATTTGGATTTGGTCATCTCAAGCTTTAGGAAAGCATGATCAACATTTATCACTATAGTCCAAACAACTGTATGATTAATTTCAAAAATAATTGGGATACCTTTACTTGTGGTATTAGCTTTTCAGCGCACACTATTTCTGGATTCACTTTATTTTTGTAAAAATGTTGTAACTCCATGTAAATAGTGGTTCAGCCTGGCATACAGATAGCAGTGTTTACAAAGGTCAGTGTAGGTTCATATCTGTTAACTGGTTTAAATGCCAGACTACACACACACACACACACACACACACACACACACACACACACACACCTTCTTGTAGTGTGTTAGGGCCCAGACAAGGCGGAATGTGACATGTTGAGTGGAGAAGACAATAAGACTCGCTGCAAGCGACCTTTTCTGTCTGGTCAGGAGATACAGCACCTTCATCACACCACGGAGTGCCTGAGGTTTTGGTAAAAACAATGAAAGTCATACTGTGTAAGGAACAGCACTGTATATTCAAGGATGATTTCAAATCAATTAAAAAGTCCATGTTCTAGACTACATACCCTTTTCATCAAAGGAAATAATATACAAACAACAGAATTGCAAAGCAGTCACAGACTCACTTTCATGGTGCAGGATCTGTTCCAGGACTTCACCAGGTCTGCAGCCCTCTGATCCTGCCAGGTGATGAAGTTATGGAAAGGAACTCCAGT